TTGGATATGCGCCGCAAGATTTTCTATTGCGCATATGCTCTTGACCGGTTGGTTTTCCTAGGATCAACGAAAGCTCTCTTTTAGTCATTGGTATTTCTAACCCTTACATCTAGATCGATAAGCATGGTTCACGCTAGATCGTTTTCCTTCACTGATGATGCGATTCATGTCGCGTTCCCGAATGCAGCCGACCTGGATCGCAAAGGCAAAGATCTCGAGAATGCCTCCATCTTGGGCCCACAATCTGTAGATCCCGGTCTACTTCTGTTTCAGCTCAGGAGAGCGCAGTCTTATTGGTACCAAGAGTTGTACCAATCATATTCGGCTCCTCTGCCAGACCCATCGTCCTTTGTGTGGCAGATATGCCTGGACATGCGAGAATGGGGCGAATCGCTGCCAAGCAATCTTCCCGCCGGAATACGGCAAATGTTTGAGCAGGAATTGAGATACAGTTACGTCTACTGCATCGCGCCTTCGGCAAGGGCTCCTCAGATTACCGACTACCACCGTATCCTCATATTCGAGCACTCCTTGGCCTACCTCCTCGCTATGCAGGAAATTGCCTCCGCCGGGCTTAACGGCGCATTCTACAATTACCACGATGCTTTGAAAGTGTATTTCATGGCGAACCAGTTCCTTGCCGTACTAACAGACTCTGAGGAAATGCTGCTGTCCGGTGCACAGATGCAAATACCCATCTCTCGCCCCGGTGCCCCACCAGCGCCTCCGATCCCACGACCTCAGCTACGGAATGGAAGACCCGTTGAAGATAATATCAGTAGAAGTATACGTTGTCTGGAAAGCATTCCCCAGACTCTAGAAGTATATGGTCGGCGGTGGGAGGACTCAGCCATGTTGAAGCAGAGCTTGGACCGAACATTGGCAGATACTATTGGGCGGCTAAGGGAACGTAAGAAGGTGCAGGGCATTAAGATGGAACAGCCTACTTATCCAGGTAGCTCTCCGTCGGCTACTACCTCACCCCGGGGACAAGCTATCGCACGCACCCCGCCACAGCCTAGAGAGATTCGCTGGGTGGGAGTTGACGTCTCGCAGATGATGCATAACCGTGCTCATCAGCAATGAGAAGACGCACAATCTTGAGGCGTAGATCTCCTGATTCCCTGCATTTATGGGTCGTCAAATGGCGGTGAATGTACAAGCAGTATTGTTGGGATATCGGATGTGAGCAGGGCAATATGTAAGAAAGACAAAGTATCTCTGTATCATTATACCCGCCCCAAGGGCAAGACTTTTTCAATGGACGCCGATGGCTTGGTGGGATCGGATAGAGCGAGGGTTATTTCCAAGGCCAATGAATATCACTGATTTACTGCGGTAATTCTCTTTTAAAAGAGAGGGATGTATATACTTTACTTTTTATGGATGATATCGGGAAAAGGCATTAAGTGATTCCTAATTTTACCTAAACGCATTGAATACTCCCTTCCTGGCAGAAACAACCAATGAGTGAAAAAAAGAAAAAAGAAAAACTCCCGGGTTTTCCCCCCATTTTTCTTTATCTTCCATGTCATGTATATGTGTCCCGTGACGCCCATTGGAAACATATGAAGAAAGAAAATAGAATTTCATGTTGATTCTTTCAAGTAAGGACCATGAGAGGAGTAGAAGGCAAAATTGAAAGAAAGGAGAAGAAAAAAAGAAGAGAATGGAAGGGGGAAAAATCGTTAGACATTATAAAAGGACTATTAAACCACCAGGTTTTTCAATTCTTTCTCTCTTCATATAACAACTCCTCCCGGTCTTTGTTTCCAGTCCCACATCACACGAAAATACGGGGTATTATTCTATCCACGCAAATTCATTTCCCATGCATTTCTCGCACGCATCTTCATGATTCTCTCGCTCCCCTGCGCAGGCATCATCGTAGTCAGCCAAGGCCTGGCAGGCAAAGACGGCACAAGTCGCGGGCATACAGGAACCGTAGAGGAAGCCGCGGCAGACTGCTGTTGATACTCCAAGAGTTGCTGTCTCCAGCGCTGGCGGCGAGAGCGTCGGGTAAGAGAGGGATTCAAAACAAGCGGATCTTGCTGTTGCTGTGGCTGCTGTTGTTGTGGCTGCTGTTGCTGCTGCTGCTGTTGTTGTTTCTGCGGGGTCGCTTTGTGATCCTGGAGTAAAGTCGAAGCCTGGCCTTTTTCCTTCTGCCTCTCGTCTTTTTCTTTGTCGTGACAGGGCTCATCAGTGGGTTCCTAGACCGCTCGAATGTCTTGCAGGTGCAGATTTTTAGTCTGGCGCGGCAACCTGCGATCTCGTTCGTAAAAGTAGCCGCAGTTGGCGCAAAGGGACTAGGAGATATCATGTTAGAGGACGCTACATTGCATACAGTAGCTCGACGAATCGGCTATGAAGCAGGGGGTAGATGACGACTTACCTTAGGCCCAGCAGGGCCGTCTCGAACTGCCCAGACGCTCGTACCCCACGTACGGCAGTGCGAACATCGCCATGAGATTCGCTCCATATCGGTCAAGGCTCCCACTCCTCCTCCGTATCCGCCCACGTCTGGAGTGACTCGCCCAAGCGGTGTTCCGCCACGGGCGAGAGGACTCAGACTTCGGAAGCGCCGCTTCTTCTTGGAACGCTCACCTCTGCCCATTCTCTCTTCCTCCACCTCGACACTTGCGCCAATACCGAACGGAGTGCCACCCAGCATGCCAGTCGTAGAGCTGAATCGCGCCGTTTCACGCCGCAATCGCCGGATCTGTCTTTCCCGGTCACCTTCCCGCTTCTCCATCTCCTCCTTGCTGAGGAATTCGACCTTGGGCTCCCAGTCATCAGCCAGGTGATCGGGGTCGTATCTCCAGCCAGCCTCCTGGCCGTGCGCAGCATCATTTGGCAGCTCTTGTTGAGCTCCACCCCATCCTCCAACAAGGCCACCAGCCTCACAGGCCTCCTTCTTCAGACGAAGCACTGCCTCGTAGATGGCATGCGTCATTGCTGGAACCCATTCGCCTGCCAATCCCAAATCGGCACATGTTGCCTTTGCAAAAGCCTCTGCGGTACCTGGAGGGTGAAGAAGAGACCACTCAAACTTGTCTGTATATAGCATGGAGGAAAGGTTTAGACTCAGGTTGATGATGCATCGATACGTGTCATCAGGGTTGTATTCGTCGGAATCAGGCAGGATAGGCGTTGCTTCGGCTGTAACCTCGGGTGCTGTAACCTCGGGTGCTTGTGATGCCGGTGGCTGCGGCGTTGCTTGGCCTCCCGTCTGTACAGGAGTATCAGGCCGTGACATGCCCCTCGCAAAGGAAGCTGGAGAGTCATCTCGAGATTTGAATATGCTTGGCCTTGGTGTTCCACTGCCTGTTCCATTTACCCCTGCAATTGGCACTACTACCTGGGCAGGTGGCGCCGGTGCTGGCTGCGATGGCTCAGAATGGAAGAGCGGGTGAAGGGCAACGCCGGCATATTCTTCCAGCTGTGTTCGAATCTGCTTGCTTATCTCGGCAACTACAGCGTGCCTGTTGGGCAGATCTAGATCCTGCGCCAGTGTCTGTGCAAACTGATCCGTCGTGATGAGTGTCTCGTGAAGATTCCAGCAGAAAATGTCACGTAGTTTGTAAGGGACAGTCATTTCCTGCGGCCGGTATTGTGGTAGAGAAATGTCGACTGAGTTGGGGTTCGGAGCTGGAAACGGCGCGGGTGGGATGAAGGACGGAATGTCCAAGTCGATTCGTATGGGTATCAGAGTCAAGGGAAGATGTGCTTGAGCGGCATTCTGCTGGTCACTCCTGACAGACCGGCTCTTCCCCATCCAATCTCGCCATATGCCCTGGACATCAACTGGTTCCTTGATATCTTTTCCCACTTTATCGGCCATGTCCAGCCTGCTGGCTGAATCCTCCTTGCGCAGACTCCGCAGGCCCGTGGGACGACGCCTGGGATCGTCGCTATCGTCGTCGAGGTCATCGAATCCATCCTCGGCGTAGTTGATGATGGTGGTGCCTCGCTTTGTCGTCCGCGAAACAGGGCCTGATGGCGCACTCGGTAGGACGGGAGTCAAGAGGGAGTTGTTGTAGGTGCGCAGGCGCGGCGCATACGACGAGAGGAATGCCTGGGGTTTTGATCGCTCCATTGTGTAATTCTTGAGGGGTGTTTGCGGGCTATCTCAATCTCATGCTGGCGCAGGGAAACAAACGCGAGCGCAAAGTTGGGGAATCCCCGCGCTGTGTTGGGAAAGCCGCAGCTGACAGAGCTTGCGAGGGTTCCTTGCAGTGTCCGCTGGCAATACCTGACAATGGAGGTCTCTATAGCAACAGGCACTGTGATGAGAAATTGAATGATTCGATTATTCGCACAGCAAGAGAAGAAGCAGAGACGGTCTTGATGCAGCTGCGTAGGGTTCGAGGGACGTGGAGTTGGAATGTCGCGACTTGTCGATGGTGGTTTGCTCAATCGCGTCGTTTGTCTTTCCCCAAAATTTGCCTAGCCCTGCAGAGATCTAGGTGACGTGCTTAGGTAAGAAGGCGGGTCGGCTAAGCTTTGCGCTACGGCAACCACTAAGCAGCTACTACTAGTAGGTAGACCAAGACTGTCTCCCACCTACCCTGTAAACCACTGAAACTGAAACTACTATACGTGAATCTTGTTGCATTCCTGACACGAAATAATAATTACAGAATTCGTTGCTCGACTGGAAGATTTCGTGTATTATAAACGTCTCCTATAGCTAGGGGAAATCTTCCATTGCTACCAAAATCAACAAAAAGCCCATCATATGCGTCTTCAATGGCCAGTTCAGAGCAACAAGTTTGTCAATAGCAAACTCTCGTCCACCAAAAATGCCTATAGCACACCGAAAATTAACCGGGTTTCATCAAACGAGTACAATAACGTCCATTTGAGTGGCCACCCTGGTGTCTTGAGACTCGATCCACGCTAAATCGATTCTCTATCACGGACGTCTAAAAGGGCCGTTGTCCAACTCTAATCACCAAAGTCAGCACTTCTTCTCCAAACAAAGTGTATCAACGAGCTGCTTACATGTTCCCCTCCGGAAAGAAGCGGCACACGTCGTATATCTTGTACGGATCCGAGATGCTGTAGGCTCGAGCACAGCCTATCTGCGTACTGGTGGACCACATACACTGAGCTGGGAGACGATTTAGCACAACTTCAAAAGTAAAGTAGCATGAATGAATGCTTACACCAGTGCAGCCAGTGCTCATGTCCATCGGTAACGGGCATCCCGTTGTATAGAGAGGCCTGGGCAAGCCAAGTTCGTGCGGCTGTTTGCAGAGGATTATCATAGGCCGAATCACACTGAGCAGATTGATATTCGAAAAGCGTCTCTCCCTGCTGAGGGCGATAAGCGCCTTGCGCGTGCGAAAAGGGCTGCTGACCGCTGGCCATTATATTTGCCCAGTACTGAGCGTAAGAGGCCAAATTGGCGTTCCAAGCGAGAGGCTGAATTCCTTGAGCTTGGCGGGCTTGATTGATCAATGAAAGAGCAAGGGCTCGATCATCCGATTGAGCCAAGCACAGACTGATAAAGGGAATCAGCCATTGGATGATGAGAAGAAGATGCATTTTTCTTTTGAAGGCTTTCTCGTGAGAGAAAGTGTTGAGATGAAGAGGAGACAGACAGCGGTAGGCTCAAGGAATGCAAGGAGACTGCAAAGAGAAGAGAGGAGTGCTCTATGTTGGAGAAGCTAGAGAGGCCTTGACGGAACTGACGAGAAGTTTGTCTCGTGGAATTAGTTGGAAGGAAAAGAGAGTGAGAATGGTAGAAGGCATGAGGAACTATCTGACCAGGCATGTTGGAGAGAAGGTGCGGAGAGAGAAAAGCTTGTTGGCGAGGAAGCTCAGAATCGGTATGTTGCCTTGACCGCTACTAATGTTGAGACACCGCATCCATGCAGTGGACTCGCTTCTGATAGATGCCTTATACTACGAGGGAAGCTGCGAATAGATAATTTTTTACAATAGGTACCTGTGAAATTGATTCTCCTTGTATATCTTCGTGGTCTGCTCCACTAATATGCTTGCCTGAAACAATCCTGCCTGCCAGTCTACCGCAAAGTAACATCTAACAATAGGTCAATATAGGTAGCCAATTACAACTTCCCAGCATCCTTCATGGCCTTCTCGCCGTCCACCAGAACGCACCAGCCCTCAGAGCCTCTGCCTCCTTCTCCATAGACAACAGCCTCGAAAGCTCCGTCTTCCAAGGCGAACTTTAGGACCTCGTCATCAAAAGTGCCAGGCTGCAGCCAGACAGCAGGGATTCCCACGCTCTTGGCCTCCTTGAGGACGTTGAGGGTGATGCCTGGGTGAGTGATGATGGAGACTGATGTGTCCTTTGGCTGCGGCAGGGCCTTGACATCTGGCTTGGTGGGGTGCTGCTCGCCATTCACGTCGACGAACTGTGAGGCGGGGTTGATGGGAGTGACGGGCAGATCATGGTTCAGATACCAGGCATGGACTATTGTTTACATGGTCAGAGGTATATCCAAATAGATATTTCTAGATAGTGAGAGGGCCTATGGAATTGAACCTTTATGACCAAACTTGGCGGGGTTGGAACTAGCTCCCACCACTGCAAAGAGGGGAGAGGAGAAGAAGCGCTTGGCAGTGGCTTCGGTGACAGCAGCCATGGTTTTTCTGTGGTTGGGCGCTTTTATGAAGAATGGAGCTGTTTCTGAGTTGAATGGTTTGGGTCTGAGAGCTCTTTATGAGTAGATTATTTAACACCAGGTCCAGTGGATGCTAGCTGACGTGATTATTCGGAAGAAGTCCTCATCGGTTGATCATCGGAATACCTCTTTCAGAGAGATTAAGAGGTATGATTTTACTTAGAATGAAGCAAACACTAGTGTATAAGTGAAGACTATTCTAAAGCGGCGACTAGATAGGGACTTTGTTGCAATGATTTGGAATTAAAGCGTCGCAGCGGCTGGAGATGATGTTACATTGCAGGGTAGCGTGCATATACTGTCGCTGGACTATGCTTGGTTGATCACTTTATACTATCACCGAATTACCAAATATGGACCATCATTTCAAATTTCTTGCATATTCTGGGATCAGCTATCCGGAAAGTGAGAGTTGCTGACAGCCATTTATCTAGATATTGTTTCTTTCAAAATAAAGACCAAGGGTGACGCACTTGCATCTGACAGTCAAAAGGCGCTTGGAAGTATTGCAAATTGTCACACATTGCCCAATATGTTTTATCATGAATAATTTGCTATCAACACTTACTAAGAGCATATCATATCTGTACCCTTTAACATTTTTGCTTGCTTCCAATGCCAAATAATGATTTCCACTTTAGCAAATGTTGGGCCCTGCGAGGAGCTCGCGTGAAAGGACATCTGCAATCACATCATGCACCGGCGTTCTTGGATGCAATGAGTTGAGCCAGAAGTATTGGTTCACGGGAACGCCGCATGATGGGTCGAAATAATCGTCGGTTGGCGTTCCACTTTGTAACAAGTCATTAGATAGTTGTACTACGCCAGACTTTTCAGGATCAACTTACTTAGCATACGCTTGACAGAAATGTGTGGTATTGGTGATTCCAGCAGTCTGCGGAAAAGACTTGACATTATTCAAGATCTCGGTAAAGAGCGCATTGGCGTCATAAATCCAGATATTGGAGTCTGTACGTAGAGCTTTCTCGCTCTTGGCCATATTGACGAGCAGCTGGTTCCACTGCACGACGTCGATCTTTTCCTGCCCGGCAACAGTTGTTCCAGCGGCAATCGTTCCGGGCGATCGGTCAATGGTCGGGACGGTTATGAAGACAAAGTTACGCGCACCAGCTGCATAGAGCTGTTCCACGAGCGACGTATATTCTGAGATTAGCTGCTGGTTAATGGACGCAGTAGAGGCAGAGCCCTTGCCGAACGTGGATCCAATGTCGTTGATGCCAACCCATATTGTGAAAAGCGTGTTGCTGCCGGTCCACTTGGGAGGCTTGGGCACAGTGATGGGCGATACATATCCAGGAATGAACTGGCTGACAATCTGCTGTTTAACAGAGGCGATGGATGTCGATGATGCCGCTACGATGTCGTTGTCGAGTGTTGCTCCGCTGACTGCGAGGTCATATGAGAAGAATACAGACGCATTGTAGGTCACTGTGAGGAAGTCGACCCAGTTCTCGCCATGTGCAGACGTTGCTCCGGGCCAAAGCCCCAGAGGAGCGGAGACAGAAGGCTGTGCTCCACCGGTATAGTTGAAGCCTGTGTTTGGTAAGTTATGTTACAGGAACTCGTTCGGGAGAAGTGAACTAACTGGTTGTCGTATAACTGTCGCCACTGTATTTATGAAAGAGATTCATCAGCACATGTTGCGATTATTACTTTTCGGCTGATAATATCATAAGAAACCATAAGAAACCGTTTGCTCACAAATAAAAGGCATATTTAATTCCTTTCCATCCTGGCCAGTTGGACGTAGCTGCACATGCCCGAGTAGCCAAAGGAGAAGCACTAATACCTTCTGTCAAGACAGCCAGGGACACCACCAACAATTTTCTTGTTCTGGGCCACATGTCAGTGGTGAAAGTAAATATTATAGAAGAGAAGTTCTACCGAGTTACTTTGGATTAATCAGAGATTCTGGTAATTGCAGCGATTTGGAGTGAACTTTAATACATAGCTATATCTGTTTTACTGAAGTCTATACATAACACACATCACATCACTAATTGTCTCGAAACTTGATCATTGGGAATGTATTGCTTACACCCGACATCATCTGATATCAGACTATAATCACCAACTGCTTAAAGCAGGAATACGAGGTAGCATTGCTCCCTTTCCCCAGGTTGTGTGAGCATGTTGATGTAAACTTGTCTTGTAGCGGCAAGCGTTATTTTCCTAATTGGGTAGTTTGATGAGCGATCCCCCCTAATATTGCTGCTTTCGCTCTAATTATAGACTACTTCAAGTCTGGCTTCCCATGATTTGTTCCACATACCACAACTCTGGGTTGTGATTCCTGTTTACAATTACCATTCTAGGAAGCCAGATATTTATAAACCGGTAGTTGGAAATAGTGCGGATTCAGCATTGACTTTAACGCAGCTTGGAATAGCTGGTAGTGGAATGAATTCGCAACTCATTGTTGTTGCTACTATAATAGCCGATTAGGAGAATTGACTAGTACATGTTGCGCATATCCATGGCGTTTCAATCGTAGAGCAACTTCTCAATCCGGAAAGTGACGATTTGAACAAGGGACGGAGTTCTCAATTGTCCTATTTATTGGGCGGCCATCTGCCCTTTCCTACACACCATTAATTCCCAACAGACCTCGGACAATGCAAACATGACTAAACTGTTTGGTCTTCTTGGTTTTGCCAGCCTCGCAGCAGCTGCGTGCATATCAAGCGGAGATGAAACAACAATCAACAATGCTCTGAAGAGCGGTGGAGCAGGCGCCGTTGTTCAGCTTTGCCCAGGTGCTGTCATCACCGTTCATAATACTGTTGCGTTTACAGCCGCCAACCAGGAGCTCTCGACTCAGGGTTACCCAACCGGCTCGACGCGTGCAATCATTCGCTTGCAAGCAACGGATCAGTCTATTTCAGCAGTCATTCGAGGAGGGAGCCTCAGCGGCATTAAACTGAGAAACATCCAGATTGATGGTGATCGATCAGGGAATGGTCAGATTACTGCTCAAGGTACGTACACCAAGTTCTTGTTCATTCAGTGTACAGATTGTTAATCTTCATCCAGCCAGTTCTGCAAACATTGAGTTGGGCGGCATTCAAAGCGGCCTCCTCGTCGACCATGTTGCGTCCATGAACCCACGAGGCTGGAGCTGCATGCATATCGGAGAGGGCGGTGCCGCATCAGGAGCCTCGGCTTGTAGCAACGCGACCATCACCAACAATGATATCGGCCCTTGCGGACTGGAAGGACACGACGCCGCAGGCCATGGCCGATGGGCTGATGGCATATCCTTTGCATGCACGAATTCGTTGGTTCAGAGCAATACGGTATGTCGTTTGATGCTTTTTTGTATTGTATCAGAGTCTTGGGTCCAGTCACTAATCACGAGAAAACAGGTCACCGGAAGCACTGATGGAGGAATTGTCTTGTTCAGTGCCCCTGGCACCAAGGTTCTGTCTAATAAAGTTATAAGCTCGACAACAAACGCAGGTTTCGGAGCAATCAATCTAGTCGATAATCTTGCTGTATACAACGGAAGCTTTGCCAATGTTGAAGTCTCAAGCAATACCATACAAGGTCAACGATTGTTTGGTGCCGGCATTGCGATTGGTTCTTGCGTGTGGACCACTTGCTCTGCTTCAACAACAACGCCAAAGCTTTCGGGGCCTGTCACGATTGCCAACAACGTATTTAGCGGCAGCATTGCGTTCCCAATTCCCATTTCCGGTTGGACCGGAGGAATCACGGTAAGGCAATCATACATGCCTCCATCAGAAACAGGACTAACAATGCGAGATGTAGGTGACGGGCAACACCGTGACAGGAGTAGGTAGCAATTCCGCCTTCTCAGAAGCTGGAAACTGCCCTGCAGCAACCAAGACGGCATTCAACGCGAACCAGCATCTTGTATGGAACAGTCCCAGCGTAACAGGGCCGACGAGCTTGCAGTCAGGCTTTGTGCAGCACACAGACTATCCCTCGTTCTTCATCTGCCCGACGCCGCCTCTGCCCAGCACGCAGGTTTGGACAAACGGGACCTTGAATGTCAACACCGTTCCGACGACGTTCTCTACTCTTCACAATGGCTTCAACTTTGTGTTTGATGACAGCGCGCATCTCATCGTGTATGACAATGGCGTAGTGGCAACCACGATTGGATCGACCACTACGTGCAACGGCCAGTGCACTCTCGATTTCCAAGGCGATGGAAATCTTGTTAAGCGGCTGGGCGGATCTGCATTCTGGGCGTCGGGCACGGCCAATAAAGGCTCGACTCTGACGTCGCTGAACACGTCGCCTTGGCTGGAGATTAAAGACAAGACGGGAGCCGTGATTTGGGACGGAGTCAATGGAGTACGTTTGCACTGATGATGCTGAATGTTGCGGATGGCTAACGACAATAGGCTCATTAATTTGGTATTGCACTCAAGGATTCGATGTGTTTCTGGCTGTGCTTGCTCATACTGTTAGAAACGTATTGGCGTGGAAGAGGTACATTGGTATGAGATGGTCGTAGTGGCTGAACAATAAGTGATTTTCACTTCTGGAAATGTTGTTACTGTTTGCGGCGTCATCAAGGCAGATGCCTATAATTAGCAATTAATACGATTATTTTAATTCGCCGCGGTCAATACTCATGCAAACTATAGAGAGAAAAACTCGCGTCACTCAGTTGTTTGTAATTCAGATAACAGCTAATAAAATGCGCGTGTCTTAACAACTTTATAATTGATTGTTTACAGTGTTGCTACGAGTACGCTGAACTAATTGTTTACATGGGGCGATCTACTAGTAGTAGGCTCCAAAGCTGGCCCGTTAGCAGTTCCTAGCTGCATAACAACGTGCACGGCATAAAAATAGCGATTTCTGCCGCGCCCAGGGCCTCAGACCGCCATTGGCTGTGATACGCCTGTTGACTCGTTGCCCCGTCAGAACCAGGCAAGGGGACGGTGGGGCGTCAATGTCAGGAGACGCAGACCTCTTGTTGTCGTTTTGGACTCTGCATCGCTCTTTTCGAGGCTCAGAGACATCATCGCCGTTGTCTGTATTCACCTGTGTCAAACCCTCTGCGACAACAGCCACAAGCAGCCGTCTACTCCTCGCACCAATCACAATGGTGAGTTGCCCCAGCACCGCTCCGATGTAAACAAAGCGCCGGCTCGGCACCTGATTCGCCCGCAGCTGCTGCCCGTTTGGCGCCGCAACTTTGGAAAGACGACGCAAAGGGGCCTTTTTTTTGCATTCCTCTGCTGCATTTTGCGAAAGACGCTGCATCGCCCGGTCGCATTTGACAAGTCTGCGCGCAAAACCAGCATTTGCACAATTTATATCGAGATTTAAAAAAAAAATGGCTTCTAATCAGTTCGACTCCCAGGCCTCAACCAACTACAAGGAGGCATTTGCCCTGTTCGACAAGCGCGGCAACGGTCGCTGCACCATCGACTCTCTGGGCGATCTGCTGCGCGCCTGCGGCCAGAACCCCACGCTGGCCGAGATCCAGGAGCTGGAGAAGGGCCTCGGAAACGAGTGTGAGTTTGGCTATGAGGCACAGCCCGGAATGAAGATGATGTGCGCATTTACGCTAACTCGCAATCACTCTGCACAGTTGACTTCGATGCCTTCCAGCGCGTGCTGAACCGACCAGGCGGCTTCCGCGACCCCGGCGAGCCTGAAGAATACTGCCGCGGTTTCCAAGTGTTTGATAAAGACATGACGGGCTTTATTGGTGTCGGCCAGCTCAAGTACATTCTGACCAACCTGGGCGAGAAGATGACTGAGGAGGAGGTCGACGAGCTGCTCAAGGCTGTGGACACCAGCTCTGGCCAGATCAACTACACCGGTATGTGTGCCTCTAGGCTGTGCTGCCCTACTCGGCATGTTCCGCTGCTAACTTCTCGCCTTTAGACCTGGTCCGAACTATTCTCGCCAACTAAGATTCCTTTGTACGAAGAACCTGACCTGGTGGCATCTTCTTGCATCTGTAAACGGGATGGCGTTGCTATGCGTTGTTTGTTTTGATTATGGTAGTGAATTGGAAACGCTTGGGATGGATGATATTTCTTTTTATCTGCAATGAATAGCCGTAGACTTTTGTATGCTGTTATGGCTGAATGAAGACGTGTTTGTGCTTCAAACGTTGTCACGGCGGCCACTAAGGCCTAGTATGTTCTTTATATACAAAAGAGCTATATAAAATATCTTCCAGATTTGGAGCCTTTTTACTGTTGACGGAATCTCGATCATCAACCAATACTTATGCCGCTATGCGCCTGCCAACGGCCATGTTGTCGACTTTCTTTTGCTTGCAGCTGCGGCGGTGTTGTCATGGCGGAGTCACCCCGCGATGTGTCGGCATTCTCGCCTCACCACTTACCGGATATGGACGCTAAGAGGCGCATAGTGGGCTCTATCAATTACGTGCATCATAGAGCTATGGCCTCTATTTTCAGTTATAGCTACATTGGTTCTCTATATCGCATTGCGTTACTGGATAGTAGATGCTATTATATCGGAATTGATCTCCAGCAGTTGTAGCAATCCTTCTGGCCAGCCCGCCTTGAACCGCCAATTCAGCTTGGCAGCGTCAAAGCCGCGTTCTGCCGCGTCGACTCCATCAGGCATTCACATTTGGGGATCAATCAAGCTACCCCTCATCAGCAATCGTTTTCCTCTATTCTGGTAGGCCGAAGCTACATCACGCCCGAAATCCTGCAGTCTAAGCGGACCAATTTGGGACAGAGCTTCCGCCACAGTTGTGCGTAAACCTGCCTGACACTTGCCATCAAACTGGAGCGGCCTCGTTCCATCAAGCCCCTCCTTCTCCTCCTCTCTCTCCTCGTACTTGTTCTCGCCGCAACCCTGGCTTCCCAACGAGCCATTCTCCGCCTCAACTCCCTTGCGAGCCACGTACGATTGCAGGGCTTGGCTCGTCTTCCATCATATCGTCGCCTCCTCACGACCAGCAACATGGCTCCCGAGCAGTTTCGAAACCCGCCGCAGAGCCCTCCGGTGTTCACCGCCACGGCCGAGTCCATCCTAGCTGATGCCAAGAAGAGCACCGAGAAGAGCAAGAGCATCTTGGATCAGATTGTCGCAACCGTGACGCCCGAGACGGCCACGTTTGACAACACGCTGAAGCCCATCTTGATTGACGGCAATGACTCGACCGGTCCCCAGAATATCCAGACCTTCTTCCAGCATGTATCGACGAACGAGTCCCTCCGAGAAGCTTCGACCAAAGCAGAAGAGCTTCTCAACGATTTTTACATTGAAGCAAAGATGCGAGAGGATGTTTTCAAGCTAGTGGATGCAGCGTATTCCACCCGGGACTCCCAAAACTTGGATAAAGAGTCTCTCCATATCCTCGAGAAAGAGCGTCGAACGTATATTCGTAATGGCTTGCTTCTCCCTCCCGGAGAGAAGCGAGACCGCTTCAAGGAGATCAAGAAGCGCCTCAGTCAGCTCTGCATTCTGGGCAAGAAGAATCTCAACGAGGAGAAGGGCGGATTTTGGTTTACTCGCGAGGAGCTAGAGGGCGTGCCCAAAGACGACATCGATGTCGACACGCTGGAGAAAGGAACTGGCGAGAACGAAGGAAAATTCAAGGTCACTTTCAAATACAACCACTACACCCCATTGATGAAGTATGCAATTCATGAGGATACCAGGCGTAGATATATCATTGCCGATGCCAACAAGGTATGTGAACTCTCCGCTCTGTTATTCTGGAAACACAGGCTGTGTACAGAGCTTTTGGCTAATGCAATACACCCAGTCAAACAACAATGTGGAAATTTTCAAGGAAATCATGGAGCTTCGCGATGAAGCCGCTCGACTCCTAGGATATCCGGATCATGCTAGCGTTCGCATTGAGGAGAAGATGGCAAAATCGCCGACCCGTGTCAATGACTTTTTGGGTGACTTGCAGGTTCGCTTGGCCCCCGGCGGCAAGAAAGAAGTCGAGGTCTTGCGAGGATACAAGGAGCGAGACTATAAAGAGCGCGGCATTCCCTTTGACGGAGAATTCTATATGTGGGATACTTCCTACTATTCAAGAATCATGAAGGAGGTGGAGTATAGTGTGGATGAAGTGGCAATCTCACAGTACTTCCCAGCAGAGTCAAGTTTTGCTGGCATGCTCAAGATTTTTGAGGAAATCTTTGGTTTTGTCTTTGTTGAGCTCGGCAAGGAAGACCGAGCACGCTTGAGCCCTACAGGCAAGGCTGAAGACATTTCCTGGCATGAAGATGTCATCATGTACAGCGTATGGGATGAAGCAGCCAAGGGAGGCGAATTCTGTGGCTACCTCTACCTTGACCTCTTCCCTAGAGACAACAAGTATGGACATTATGCAAACTTTGGAATTGAGCCCGGCTTCACCACAGTGGATGGAAAGAGGAGCTACCCCTCGACCTCCCTAGTGTGCAACTTTAGCAAGCCAACAGCGACCAAGCCGTCACTGCTCAAGCACCACGAAGTTGTCACCTTCTTCCACGAGCTTGGTCACGGTATCCATGATCTTGCTGGTCGCTCGCGTTTCAGCTACACTCACGGCACCGCGACTGTGGCCGATTTCGTCGAAGCACCCTCTCAGATGCTCGAGAACTGGTGCTGGACTCCAAGCGTTCTGAAATCCCTGTCGAAGCACTGGGAGAGCGGAGAGAGCATCCCTGATGAGCTCGTTGAGAAGCTCGTCAAAACCAAACATCTCAACTCGGCAATTGGCGCACTAGGTCAGCTTGTCATTGGCACCTTTGACATGACCATTCATGGGCCCAAGACCCATGAGGAAGCCAAGACCAGAAACTACGGCAAGCTATGGAACCAGATCCGTCATGACATTTCCCAGATCAAGGGCCCAGAGGATATCGGCGAAACCATGTATGCTATTCAGTCCCCTTTTCTTTTTCTTTTTTTACTACTTCTCCATCCAGCTTGGTGTGTGTATTTATGACTAACTCGCGATAGGGAATGGGGCAACCGATATGCCAACATTGGCCACTTTCTCGGCGGTTATGACGCCGGTTACTATGGCTACCTCTATTCTGAGGTCTTTTCCCTAGACATGTTCCACTCATTCTTCAAGAAGAATCCCATGGATGGCAAGGAAGGTCGTAGATACCGCCACACTGTTTTGGAACGAGGTGGCAGCATTGACGAGATGGAGTTTTTGAAGGAGTTTTTGGGCAGAGAGCCTAGCACGGAGGCTTTCTACGAGGAGTTGGGCATTGCGGCCAAATGAGCGATATTCGTTGGAGCAGATACCTTCTTAAACATGAATTCTAAAGAAGAAGAAAAGACAACGCAAGCATGTCTATTTAGTAAAAGGTATCATACGCAGAAGACAAAATAAACGAGATGACTATCTACTTAGACGCCTTTCTCACTAATAACAATGATCTTGTAGCAAGGGCAAAAAGCAAAAAATTGCGGCCTGTGTGGATCGAACACACGACCTTCAGATATCAAGTGACTTGAAGTTGGAACTTCAGTCTGACGCTCTCCCAGCTGAGCTAAGGCCGCAATCCAGTTGTTGAAATGGGCGAGGCATTTTTATCTTATACAGGCTACGGATGCGGGAAAAGATGGCATGATGTGTGGGGGTACAGGTTGGATTAAGTGGGGATGTTTTAGTGCAGTGGGTGAAAATGGAGGAAGCACGTGCAGTCGATTTCCTAACTGGTACGTACCTTTTCTCTCAGAAGAGAAATCCAGACGATGTTGACTGATGGAGCATTGAGAGCGAGCCGTTTGAACCAATTGCTGATTCTGGTGCTGTATACGGTGATAATACAAGTAAATACAGTCACATTACCAGCGAGCGAGTTTCATTGAAAATCATGGCGATTGTGATTTGCACGCCTTCCGAGGCCGAAGCCGTGGCCGTGTCAACAGTTCACTTACGGGCCATGGACGAAAATCTCCTTACGCACGCGCAGTTCCCCAGCAAGGAGGGACTGGGCTTCTTTCACGCGTGGCTGGAGAATAACACGCTGGAGCATTTGAGGGATGAAGATAAAGGAGTTTTGGTTGCAAAGGATGAGGAGACGGGGGATGTGGTGAGTTTTGTGAAGTGGTTGGTTCATAGGCCTGGGCAGGATGAAGCGGTTGAGGAGGAGTGGCCGGCGGTTGCGAGGAAGGAGTATTTGGATCCGTATGCGGCGTTGACGGAGAGGGTTAGAGGGAGGGCTGTTGGGGAGGAGGCGGCGTATTATCGTGAGTTTTATATTCCTGGTTTGGCCACTTTTGACGACACGATATGTACACGTACCTACAAGTAGTACTTGTTTGTACCTGTATACATATGCATACCTTACATATCAGCCACCTATGAGTGGTGTCGTAGTTTACTAACACAAGCTGATTAAATTAGACCCAACATACATCTGCACGGATCCTCGCTGGGCCGGGCGCGGAGCCGCATCGCTGCTCATGCGCAAAGTTCAGGAACTTGCAGCCGCGGCGAATCTTCCCATTGTGCTGGAGGCGACGATGAATGCCGTGCCGTTTTACCAGAAGATGGGGTTTGAGATTAGGGATGAGCTGTCGATGATGCTGCCGCCGCGGGGATCGAGTGAGCCGACGGAGGTTTATGAGGAGAGATGTATGGTTTGGGTTCCGGCGAAGGGAGAAACGGTTTGAAGTATTCTTGATAGGGTAGGCAAGTGAGGTATTGCAATGGGGCAGCGGCATAAAGCAGCGTATTAGGGCATATAGAAGGACACGTGTAGATTCTCATAAATCTATTGGATAGACTACAGGATAGACATGTCTTTGCCTATTCTACCTAGCGAGAAATTCTCACACTCTGCTTATGCAAAGATCAATGATATCGACTGTAACTTGTGCTGAGCAGCTGAAAGGCGGCATCTCGCGATTGCATCATGGGCGGGATCCACCACATGCACGTGGCATATAGCCTGATTAGGGGCGGCAGACGAGCTGTTTTTATCTTACTCCATGGGGAAAATCGTACATGTATGTATTGCCTGTCAATTTTAGTCTAGATAGTAGGCAGCTGAAAAAAGATCTCGCACTCTGAGAGCCGTAATCTTTGTGTTACATGAGTTAAAATCCTTGAAAGGGGAGAGCGGAGAATACGACGCCGAGTTCGGGACGGCTTGACATGCATGGGTGGTGCTATCTTTTTTTTCTTCTTTTTTTAAGCTTTTGATATTGTCAGTCGGGTCTAGGCTCGCGGATATCAGCAGATGAAGATGCACGAGAGTCCCTGTTTGTTGCTTTTTGCTGCAGGGGAGCAATCTCGTTACGTAGTGGCATCTCATTTCGGGCCGCCTTTACAGATCGCTTACAGAGAGAGAGAGGGGGGTAGGAAAACATGCCAATGGAACTTGAAGCCACATATCAATACGCATCTCTTTGGTCTTGGGTAGTAGATCCCATGGAGCAAGATGACGTTTTTGTAAGTCACGGAACTTCAGAGGTTCCCCCTCGCTTGCTGCGACGATCCAACGCTACACGGAGGAACTTTGGTATATACAGAGGGGGAGACGATGTAATAGTATTAGAAGAAAAGAAGAAAAGCAAGCGAATGCGGCCGGGTCCGTCGATTGGAACGCGAACGAGGCAGATGGACGTGTCATCTGGATCGGGGGATCCGCTGCTGCATTGACTAAACTGGGCAGGACTCCAGACAGACTAAATTCGGGGAGATGGTCCAAACGCGGTATCGAATCGACAGACCTTTGCTTTTTCGGCCTTCTTTCTCTCGGTAAGCCCAAAAGAAGTTCGCGCGCGCCGCAGGTTTTTAGCTCACGGTGCATTGATCTTATAAATGTGGGTGTTCTTATTTGTGGTAGCATATAGGCAGTGGTCTAGCATGACAAAAGGCTCACGGTTGGCGCGGTTTCTGGATATCCTACTTGTAGATGACTGGAGCGGAAAAAAAAGGCCGCAAACCTTCAATGTGGGGGGTTCAGCGCGCGATGAGCCGAGCTATTTTCGTCGCTTGCTCTCTCTTTTGTTCCGCGAGAGGAAAAAGAAGAAGAAGAGTCAGAGGCGTAATTATCGCAAAAATGCAACCTAGGAAGCTCGGCAAGGTTGATTTGGCTCACCCGGGTATTAGATATTACTACCGTACATATAGTACTACTAAAAGGTATGCACACCAAAATACAGTAGCATGCAGTAAATAAGGAGATAGCTGGGCCGAGATATATGCCCACCACACCCTCGTCGGCCACTCGGCGCTGCAAGTTGATGGAAAAGAAAAAGGCGGATGGGCACGAGATGGGTTGCCAGAAGGACCAATGAGGCTGAATCAAACATGTGCCGGAGCCTGAATGAATTTGCGGCGACATGCCACTTGGGATGGGCTCCGGCTTGGGGCTGGATGCGGCGCCGAGCACAGGCTGCTGGCCATTACGTGACAAGTATTCAGGCCCTGCAGTAGACCGGCAGCGGGATGGTTTTCCATTTGGTAATAGGGAGCGCTTTTTGTTGTGGTGTCTTTGCTTGTTTTGGGCTAGCGGAGGACAATTGGGCTTTTGGTGCTTGTGCTGCTTCATTCTTGTCTGGATCGCCGTACCCGTAGCAAGAGTACCCGTGGTCCCGTAATACCGACAGGAGGGATGACGCTTCCATTGCTGTACGTTGCCAGTATCGAGTGATGCTCTCATGCTGATGTTGTTGACGTGAATCGATCTCCGGCCGGTGGAGAAATCGTCGAGGTTTATCTGGAACTGCCCCTAAAATGCAACGGCGGTGACGTACATGCACTGCAGGCGGCACGGAACTATTACCTACTGCCTGCCTGCTTTGTAAATGCTAGCCTCTGCAATGGAGCTGCAGTGTGTAAGTGTAAGTGTAAGTGGCTCTCGTGCTACATGCCAGTGCCAAGCGGTTCCCATTATGTAGGTTTATCTCGAGCCGTTATTAATTTTGATCCGTCAGAGATAAGGCATGGTTGCAGGCCCGATTAACTAGCAGAAACGGCGCAGCCCGTAATCGTCCCCTCCCCACCGCTTGCAGCAACGGTGCATTGGACCCTGATTTGGAGCTGCGAGCATGTGCAGGCATCAAATCGTAAGAGGCGTATCGGCGGGACTTGTAAGACAAGCCACAGGGACCCCCAGCATGTGCTTGATAGAGCAAATCACCACGCTGCATCACATCTCTCATGCGTGGCATTTGGGAAAAGCGGCCCTGTGTTTTGCGCCTTGTTGGATGGATTTACGGGCGGCTACCCGCGTTAATGCACGGATGGAGAGGCCCATCGGTAATTGGTACAAGTAGCATTTAATACTGTTCCCATAATAGTAGCCGCCTGATACTGTGTAATAGTGGGTAAGCAGTACAGCTTCATTCTTCTTTTCTTTTGTCATGGTAATACTCCGTTGAAGGCGCACTAGGCGGCCGGGAGTGAGGCCGAACTGAAACCAGGTGTCTGGAACCACACAGGATAAAAACCACCGAGACAACCTCTGTGTGGCGCCAGGCACCTCGAAGGATGGTGGATGGATGGCCCGGAAGGCAGGGAGACTCTAGTTATTACTCTAATTGAACGAGATATACGCAGCATGGCGGAACAAGAGCTGCTCCCTATGGACGCCAAGGTTCCTTGCCTTGAGCCAAGCGTCCAGGCATTCGCCAGACCTCTCGGTGGCCCGTTTCGAGTACGTACAAAGTTTTAAGACCCTGCTGGACTGTGCTTTGTAAAAAGCGCCAGCGTGCTCGCGAGGATGGGTCCATCCATCCATCCAAGCAGATCGCTTATGTATGAGCACGGAGATGGGCAGCACAGATGCAGTGCGTGCTTGGTTGAGCGTAGAGTCCAGAGCGCATGTAGCGGTGACCACGCCAGCACGGCGATTAGCAAGCAATGCGCCAGGTACCGTGTACTTTGGGCGGGATCCAGATCCAGGCGGTCTTACTTTTCTGTGCCAGCAGCTTCTTTTGCGCGGCAGCTGCAGCTCGACAGGCTAGACCGCAGTCTTTGATTTTTTGATATCAAATTAAATCAGATCACATCAAATCAAATCACCGAGTTTCATCGCTGCCTAGCACATGCTGACACACGACATATGCCGTGGCGGCGCCTTCTATTGAGCCAGGCCAGACAGCACGAGCTTAGCACGCTACAAGGTACATGCACCCGCTGGGTCGGCCTCCGGGCTGAGGTCAGTGAGGCTGCCAAAGATCGCCAAGCAGACGCCATCTTTACAAACCGCCGCCGCTGGGTTGGCTGCTCCGACTGACTAGCCATCGGCGAGGGACCGGCGCCCATTCCAGGATCGCGCTGGCCTTGTGCGACCATCCAGCCCGTCCCTCCAGACTCCGCTGGGTCCGTTCCGGCAAAAAGGGTGGCCCTGGCCTGGGTCTGGGGAAGCACATGTCATTTCAATCGTTTGTCCTGGGTCCTCAACTCGACGCCTCTTCTTTCTCCTTCACTTCTCGCGCCCTCGTCCTCTGCCTCACTCCATCGGTGCTTTTCGGGAGAGCCAGACGACGCAACGGCGCTCCAGCGGTGCTCTTGGCATACAAGAAAGATCTCGATTCTGCCCCCGGCTCGGGAGGTCCATCTATCATCTGTCATATCCATCACGCATAGCTACGCATCTGCTGATACCACCACCACCACCACTTCACTTATCTCTGCCGGCCCAAACTTGGCCCGATGCTCTCCGGAAGATTCTGAAGAGCTCCAGGCTGATGAAGTCCATCTAAGAAAGAGAGACAGAAAGGAAAAGCGAGGCGGTGCTATCTGCAGCTTTATATTCGAAGCCCCCTGGTTCAAATGACGCCGATAACCAAAGCCTATCTCATCCTGGCCACTATCATCACCTGAGATCCCGAAACGCGTATCTCTTCTAAATCTGCCATTCTTATACAATACTTCTGTATCAATCAATATTTGCGGTCTTATTCCTCCAATCCCAACGGCCTGCCGCACTCGACCAAAAAGGCCATCTTTTGGCGGGTACCAGCGACCGGGTCGTCGACCAGTCTTGCTCGTGCTCCTTATCTCCTTCGGACTAAACAGTAGCGGCCTGGCCTGGCGCCGCGCCCTTTTTCAGCAACCTTATCACGGACACCCACAAAAAAGCAGCCAGGGCCGATCTTATACAGTATCTATCCCACGGGCACCTGGCCAACCACTGCTGCGAGGAATAAGCTGGGCTTTCTGGACCTTGCCGTTCCCTCCAGTCCTTATCTCTCCGCCGATTCCGTTATCGGGCTGCTCGAGAGACGCTCATCTCATCTCGTCTCATTCTCATGTTGGCCGTTGGACTCAAGCTTCAGTCGTAACAAGCTGCTGCACTGGTTGCGTCATAGCCCGGCTTCACGTTTGCAGGCGTGGGGAGACTTGCTTGCCCAGCCTTGGGACGGCGAATAGCATCACCTGCGTCCGGGGTGGCTTGTCTTTTCTTTATTCTATTTTTTTACACGCAGCTCGTGCTCGCGGCTCTTATCCCCGCCCCAGCCCAAAAGCGCGGGTAAACTGCCATCTTAGCAGGCAAACAACAAGCAGACGGACGGAGACAGACGGGCAGACAAGCGCCTGGTCCCGGCCGATCTTTTACTTATCTGCACAGTAATAACACGTACGTGCCCAATAGGGTGCTGGTACATATCTATCATACTGTTTATATTCAGTACACGTACACGCATACGTGCAGAAATCCATATACTGTCACTGCCACAACTGCATCCAGAGTGGTCCAATCATGGCCCATGACACTCCTATCCAGCGCACGGCGCCAATCGCCATTGCTCCCAAGCCTCCTCGACTGGAGCCCCTCCCTCTCCCGCGGCGCCAGAACAGCTCCCACAGGTTCGAGATAGGCCCCGCGAGCTTGCATGGCAGGGGATCCATCGACTCCGGATCATTTCCTGGGGCGCCTGCTCCCCCATGCCAGGCGTGTCGCTTCTCTGGAACCAGGTGTACCGTGGCCGAGGATGACGATGGCTGCATGCCTTGTCAGCTCAACGGCACCGAATGCTCCCTAGTGTCGTCAAGTCCTCAGACCCGTAAAAGGAAGCTTAACGGAGACTCTGCCGATGAGAGCGTCAAAAGAGGGTCAGTACAGCTGCGTGTATCTTGCCTTGTTTTGATTTTGATTTGTTTTCTCTTCCCCCCGTGCCAGATTGCTTCGCCTCTACTCGTACTTGTTCCACCACACGATCCTGTCCTTATCCTGTCACTTCCCACGTTGCATAATCATCTGACACATGATTGGTTTTCTAGCTCCCCCGGTATCTCCAGCCGCAGAAATCAAAATTCCAGTCTCTCCAGCACCGCTGCCAGCAGCTCGTTCTTAGAAGACATGGCCAACGTCGGCGGCCCCACAATGCTGAAGCGGACGTTGGGCCTCCAGGAGGACCGGTACAGCCAGTACATCGGCCCCACGACGGATTTCGAGCCCTCTCTCATTAATCTCTCTCCCTTTGACACCCATGACGAGAGCCTGCTAGCCCGCGGCACTCTTCGCAAAGTCAGCGATTCAGACACGTTTTTGATGCTCCCGGACCAGGGAACAACTGGACACGAACATGTAGTTGAAGATTTGGACGCTATCGAGGCTGTTGTCGCCCCCCATGGCCGCAAGCTCATCGATTTATACTTTCGAGTGGTCCACCCCGGCTTACCCATCATTCAGAAAGGCGTCTTTCTAGAAAAGTATGAACGATCTTATCGCGAGTTCTCACCACCGATCCTTGCCGCCGTCTACATCCTTGCCATCAACTGGTGGGATCACCATGAGGAGCTCTCCAAGCTGCCTCGTCCTGATGTCAAAGTGTTGGAGAAACTTGTCCGAACTTCTCTCGAAGATGCCATGTACCGACCGAAGCTGTCGACAGTCCAAGCCGGACTCCTTCTGTCTCAGCGACCCGAGGGCGACCAATGGGCTCCGACGGCGCAGCTAGTTGCCATTGCTCAGGAACTGGGCCTTCACCTGGACTGTGCGGGGTGGAAGATTCCCCCATGGGAAAAGGGGCTGCGAAGGCGATTGGCCTGGGCCCTTTATATGCAAGATAAATGGGGATCTCTCGTCCACGGAAGACCGTCTCACATCTTCCCTTCCAACTGGGCTGTTCGACCGTTACGCGCTAATGATTTCCCTGATGTCGAATGGGACGAAAACGATACGGAAGAGCGCCAGGATATTGAAAAAGGCCGACTGGTTTTCACTCGATTCGTTCAGCTCTCTGAGATCCTCTCCGAGATTCTCGACACCTTTTATACTCTGCAGGCCATGCAGACCGTCACGAACGCAGGGTCGGGAGGAACGCAGCTTGTCCTTTCACTGGCAAAACCCATTCAGCTCAAGCTTAAGGAGTGGTATGGAGCGTTACCCACCAACATCCGACTTGATTCATACTCTGCGAGCAAATTGTCGTCGAGGCTTTCGTGCATTGGCTATCTCCATCTGGGATACTTTGCAACGGAAATCACCCTTCATAGACGCATTATTCGATCTCTGGCATCGAATACATCATCGGTAGATCCATATGTACAGCATATCTGTCGGAGTGCTGCAAAGGCTCGTCTGATTTCTGCCATGGATTTTGTCAATCGCTTGATGCCGAACCATGTCCAATCATTCTGGTATTTCGCCTCCAAAACCAACTTCGCCCTCATTGGCACATTTGGATCCTTGCTTTGGGCAACGTCACCAGGGCGAGAAGAGGCGGATTGGTACAGGCGTCGACTCGGCGAATACCGCTGGACGTTGTCAGTGAGCTGCAAGCCGGGCCAGAGCAAAGGCCTGACTGAATTTGCCATGACCATGCTGGACATTTCAACTGGTCTGTTGAAGCAGCTTCCGGAGAAGCCGTCCATGAGCCGCACCGGCAGCGCGGCAGACTTTTCTGCCATGTCCATGCCCGGTTCATACTCGGGCGGAGTTAGCATCCTGGGCAGCTTTAGCAACTTTCACAGCACGGATGTGAGCGGTGTGCAGAGCCCCCAGAGTGAAACGGAGAGCAGTGATGAAGGCATGGAGGATGACGATTACGCGACGCCGATGTGATCATATCCCGATGTCCATCACTGCATGTTGGATTATTGCAATATTTCCTTCTTCTTCTTCTTCTTATTTTCTCCCTAAACCCTTATCTTTTTGCATTTCTTTGGATTCTTCCTTTTTTTTGTGATGGACATGCAATTTGGAAACGACTGGATGATTTTGAGCGTCAGTATTTTGTGTCGTGGACACTCTGAGTTATTGCATTTTCACCCCACCTTGATGCGATAGAGGAGTTTGATGACTTTACGTTTTGATGCAATCTTTTCTTATATTTTTCCTGTTTTGGATTGTTTTCATTCCTCTTCCCCAGTTCATTTTGGCATTGTGTTAGAGGCAAGAGGCCGCTAGAGGAGATACCCGCTCGGAGGCCAGCGGGGATCCGAGCGTGTTTAACAAGGCGTTCAATGGGAGGTGAAGGGATGGCTTTTGTGAATGAAAGAGTTGTGAAGGAATTGGACATGTTAGATTGTTAAGAAAGCAGAATGAGAGCTGGTAGTCCAATCTAAGATGGGAATTTTTCTTTCATCTCATGCGAATATGGCGTGCTCACCTTGATGGACTATGACGTGACTTTTATGCTTATTGCCTCAGGCTAATGTGCTCTCAAAGTCCCTAAAAACAAATTGAAAAAGTAATATCAGTGCATGTGATAATGAAATGGTATAATTTAATTGTTTTTACGTTTCTGGATCTGCAAACTTGTACAGACAATCCGAATTCCCTTTGGATGGCGATGCTTAGTGTGGCGTACCGTAATGCGCCACAACAAAGTCGCTCGAAACGAAATGCACCGCCACAGATACCGCCAAGCACCTCCTTGGTCTGCAAGATGTTTTGCCTGAGATTGGAATTGAAACGTAGCAACTCCCTGTTTCACACCTCCAGCCTATCGTTCGATTATCCTCTTCAAATGCCGGCCATTTGAAGCTGTATTGCTCGGTTGCTTTCTTGCTTGAGTTTATTGTTCTTTGTTTATTATTTTACTTGCATTTCTCATTCTCATTTCACATCTCCTTTCCTTCTATATAGCTCTGTTTCATTTAACGGTTCGACCATGGCGCGCCCAAAAAAGGCACCTCAACAAGATGCCCAGGACACTTCAATGGGATTCACCCCCGAGAGGTTTGAGAAGGAGCTTAAAGATCTAGCTTCCAAAGCCAAGAGCAATACGTGGAGCAACACTGTCGTCGAGCAGGTGGCCATTTACGTGAAGACCCTGGCGCTGCTTACTTTGCTGGGCGTGTACTCTCATGCGTCGCAGCTTGCGCTTTCGCCGGTCTATGGCTCGATATCGGCAGCGACGTGGCATTCGAAAGTGGTCATGGCCGGGTGCTTCATTGGCTGGGCGGGCAATCTGGCATTTCGGCAAATACTCGCCGTGAAGACGTCGCAGCTTCTGCCCCTGGTTGCCATATATGTGCCCATGGTGCAAAGCTTCTTGTATAGGTTCAGCCAGACTTTGGGACCGCAATATGGGCCCCTAGTTACGGAGATTGTGACTTTGTTCCCGCTGGCGATTTTGTCTGCTGCTTCTGTGGCGGATTGTCTGGACGGTGCAGATATGAGCTTGCTGCCCAAGTTTCTGGGGGAGGCTGCCCCTGGGCTCGGATCGTGGGGGACGTTCAAGCTCGTGGAGCATATAGCAGAGATGCACCTCCGGAAGCATGTTGGGACCATGTTTTGGTACACGCGCGTGGGCATTGAGATTCTCTTGGCTGGCTCGTATACGCTGCTTGCGCCCTCCAAGTATCTAGCTCTTGCGGTCCCGGCATTGATACACACGGCAATGTTCAACCCTCATGTGTCCACACCGACGGCTACGGCACTTTTGAACGACACAATGCTGGCTGATAATTGGATGCTTCTTGATCGACGGGAGTCGGTGACTGGGTACATCTCGGTGGTTGAGAACACAAATAGCAAGATGCGAGTGATGCGAGCGGATCATAGCTTGCTGGGAGGGGATTGGGTAGAGTGGCGCAAGGAGCAAGTGGTGGAACCTGTTTACGCAGTCTTTGTCACGCTGGAAGCAGTGCGTCTTGTTGAGAGAGAGGTGCCATTGGCGGACGCTGATGCCAAGGCCCTGGTCATGTAAGTGCTTTTCTTCATTTTTCCTTATGCTATACCATTTTTTTTCGGGGCTCACTGACAATTACTGCTTAGTGGTCTTGGTATTGGAACAGCGCCATCTGCGCTTGTGTCTCATGGAATTGACACTACTGTCGTGGAAATTGACCCTGTAGTTTACGAATTTGCCCAGAAGCATTTCCAGCTTAAGGAGAATCGTCCAGCGGTTATTGAAGACGCGGTCAAGTATACTACTCGGGCTGCCAACGAAACCAAGAATATTTATGACTACATTGTCCATGATGTTTTCACGGGTGGTGCGGAGCCTGTGAATTTGTTCACCTTGGAATTCTTCCAAAATCTGTATACCTTGCTGAAGCCCGATGGCGTTATTGTAATTGTAAGTGTAGTTGCTCTTATTCTTTCTCTTCTAAACAACGAAAATGGCTTACCTGAGGAACTAGAACTATGCTGGCAATCTAATGCTACCGACTCCCAAAATTATTGTCCGAACTATCCTACAGCAATTTCCAACTTGTCGCATATTTCGCGAGAACCCCGCTGATCAAAAAGCCATTGAGGAGTCAGGCATAGACTTCACCAATATGATGATCTTTTGCCGCAAGACTGAAGGCGCACTGACATTTCGTCCTGTGGTGAAGGAGGATTGCCTGAATAGTGTCTCAAGGCAAAACTTTTTGAATCCCCTGAATGAGATGTTGCCTCGGGACTTGTTTTCCATTGGCAGCGATGAAGAGGGTATCTTACTGAGGAACGGAACGGACAAGGTCAGCAAGGGGCAACAGGTCAACTCGGATGGACACTGGGCGATTATGAGGAAAAGCCTGCCGGCTTCTTTTTGGGAGAGATGGTAATGGAAAAGTTGAACGTCTGGTCATTTGATTGGAAAAAACGAACCGCCTTTTTTTTGTTGTTCGTGTTCTATATCAACGCTTTATAAAATGTATCTTGAAGAAACTCGCATGTAATATCATAGATGTAGCATATAGCGCATTCTAAGCCTGCTCTTTTTCTCAGTCTTTATTTCTTTGCAGCCTCAAGAGCATACTCCTTATTCTCCTTGTTATAATCCTTGACAAAGTCAGAAATGTTTGACGGGACCTCCACCTTGTTATATGACGTGGGAATCGGCTCCCCAACGCTGGAGTAGATGGGCAAAACACCCGTCCACACCGAGTTCTGCGCCTCCTCATTCTGCAAATCGTGCTTGTCGTCCAAGACGCCGCCATCCCGGATCTTTGCGCTTCCCGAGGTGATCCTCACTTTAAGCACGCTCGTGCTCGTCATCTCGGCCTTGGTAGGAGGCTGGCGGGTTTTCTGCCAGCGCTCCGGGACGATGCCGTTGGTAATCACCTCCAGGGCGTACTTCTTCTCCTCCTCGTCCTCGACGAGAGTGGCGTAGCCGAAGAGCACGACGGAGCGGTAATTGTACGAGTGGTTGAAGCCCGACGTGGCGAGGATGAGGGCATCCACGTGCGAGGCGGAGATTGTCACGGGCAGGCCCTTTTCCTCTTCTTTTTGATCGTCTGTGGTAGCGGCTTTGGTGACATTGAACATGCGCGCGGAGACGTAGCCGTGGATGTACAGGTCCTGGGGGTCGCCAATGTCGGCGCTGGGACGGTCAAAGGAGCCCATCTGGCCGATCATGGGGAGGACGGCGGGGAAGGGGGAGTCTGGGGTGTTGAAGGCGACGTCGATGATGGGCGAGGCATTGATGAGGCGGTGGATGGTTGAGAGGGCGTAGGTGGCGCGCTCGTTGTGGCGGCGGACGGTGTTGTCGCTGGTTTTGGGGTATTCTAGAGTGTGGCGACCCATGATGGCGATTTTTATATTATAACTTTTATATACTATTTGTTTGGTGGCGAGGGGGGTTTGCTTGGGATGATGAGTGTAAGTTGTGTGAAAATGGGAGTGTGTGATATATGTCGTTGGAGTTGCGAACGTTCTTGGCTTATATATGACAACGATGGTGGGATTAGCTCAGTTATGACAGCTGCATGTCTATATCTTAGTTTCATGCAGTTACTAAAACGCAAGGCAACAGACACTCGATAGGCAGTGAGTCAGGGCATTACCAAGCGTCAAATTGTTCCTCTCTATTGGCGACATGGAGCTTATTGCCCCAAAGAGGCAATATGAGAGAAGCGCGGCAACCGGATGCGAGAGAGATAGACGCCCCTCCTCCGGGCCGGTTTGGATTTTGTGTGAGTGACAGGTACCAAGTAACTCTCGGTATGGCCCTTTGATTACTTTCCGGACCAAGTAATTGGCTAGCATCGCTAGTGGGAAGGGGAATGAATAGACTTGGCCATGCACGTTTAAGATGGGATCGGGCGGAATTGCCCTTTTCAAGGGTTTCTGGGGGTGGGGGACTGTGGCTGAAAGTTGCATGTGCTGGATCGAGACGCCAGTATAAGGCATTCATTCCATCGACACATCTACGTCTAGGAAAACACTGTGTCTCTATGCGGGCATGAGCCAGGTAGAGGCACTAGCAGCTTGCTGCAGGATGGCGTTGTACTCACATGTACGTGAAGTTTAGTTTCAATGCGGAGATGTCGTATAAGAACAAGTCTGGGTGCTGCCTGCGATAGGCGGTTAATAGATTAAACGAGGCGTACATGTAGACTTTTTGACTACTACTACGGCATCTTTTGTCGAATTGTTTAGCTAATAGGATTCGAAGAGTGGGTGGGCGCCAGTGCTGAGAGCAGTTAGAGGATTTGTTAATCAGATGTCTGCTTTGGAGTTATTGGCGTTTATGTGTACCGATTGGAGCTACTAATCTGTTGGATGACTTGATTTGCGCTGTGCCCACACTCCGACGTCGTCTGGAAAGAAATTGCGATATAGGCTAGGGCGCTAGGTATCGGCTTAGACTGAGCAGCTGTCTTTGCGGTTTGGAGTAGTAGATGACTATGCTGATAGTTGAGCAAGGACGTTGCGAGTAGGATGAAAGGCTTTCTAGTAGTGAAATGTTTGATGGTTAAGTGATGACTGTTGATATGCCGAAGCTGGTTATCAACAAATGTCTGAGTTATTCTAGGGTACATGTATCTGATAGAATGGCTTCATTTACTGTTTAGAGCTCTTAGTGATGGAATCAAGCTATTGACCCAATTCAATCTATCGTAACCTGCAAGTTGAAAACATTGTAACGTTTCTTTGCCCACAACTGTTATCACTTCCCCCATGAGCACTTGGCGTCGTTCTGTCCTACCATCTTACCATATTGAGAACTTCCGTTGTAAGCCGCCGCGGAATTATACATGCATTTACAAACTGCAGTTCCATCACGCCCGCGGATCCCGTATATCGATAGCTTCCAGAGACCGGCCCGGCCTCGTGGTGTTGACAAAGGATGCAGCTGCTTGATATCTGCTCCATGCTCGTGCATCATCATCATGCATGTGACCATGTTAGTGCTTGAAGCCACAGCCTAATGCTCTGTACCTAATCTTTATTTCTCCTCGCCGCGATATCCACCCCCAACCTCGATGCCTCGATCTAGTGCCACAACTTGCGAGTCTCCGGCACGGACATCCGAAGTCAAACAGAGTCCGAGTTATAGAAGCAACATCATGCCGTCTACTAGCTGCCGCTGCTTGTTGTTTGTGGCGGTGCATAAATGCTGTCTGTAGCTGCCTCTATCCTCGCTTGCAGCGTCCATTTGCAGGCATCTACAGGGGTCCAGCTCCTTCGTTTTCCCATCTCCTGGCCTTAGCCGGGCCGGCTCACTCCTAAAGTAACCGGCCCGGGAGATGGTTTGCCCATCATTTCGTCTTCCTCCAGCATATCCTGGAAGTATGCAGGCATTCTCTTTACCCATCATTACCTATTCTTATTTTACCTCCTGGGCCTATCACCTGAGTGGCGCATTAAACGTCCTCATCTCATCGACAATCCCAAGCTGCTCCATAGATCTCTGCGCATAGAGATCTAATCTTGCGGCAAAAGAGCGTCTCCACCTTGACTCTGCTAATCTATCGTAGCGCACACCAGCTCTTCATCGTGGAGCCTGCACCAAGAGCGTCAATCGAAACAAGCAGCTGGCATGTGGCCAAAAGAAAGAAATGCAAATCCGACGCCCTTTTTTTGCGCGCTCCTCCTCTTTGCCTCTTCGCCTAAAGCCACTTTTTCTTTGCTCCAACGGCCTTGTTTCGTTTGCCCGTGCTAGAACAGGAGGCCTTTTCGTGTATCATCTCGCAAACCCATGCGCGTCTCCCGACGTTGGAGGTTTCAAGTGAAACGGCGCCACCCCGGAGACTCCTCTTCTGAGCAGGCCTGGTGTTTTCGCTCTTGTGCGCGGCCGCTTGATTCGACATTGCCGTGTGTCAAGCCTGGCATCTGCGCGCCTTGGCAGCTCAATCGTAAAATTTAGCTTCTTGGGCCCGGTCGAGCTATACGCGCACCTCCGTAGAAAGTGCCGTGGTTTGATGGTGTCGCAGCTTTGGGTCCCCAAGTGCCCTGCCCAGGGTCATACGAGTTCGCCCTAGAATTGGCGATGGCCCTCGTTTGAGAGGCTCGATTTGGCTTCCTTTTTCCATTCTCTCTCTTTTTCCTTTCCCAACTCACGCTTTTCTCTTGCTGCGCTGGAGATTTGCCGCGTACATTTGGAGTTTGTGAGGAGTTGACGGACCTTCGCTATGGTTTAATTCTGTTCTTGTACTGATACCTTCTTTTTCCTCTCTTCTTTTCTTCCCTCCCCCCTTTTTGCTGCTTTTTCATAGCCCATTGACTGGGTGTTCGCTTCTCTTTTCGACCGTTTAATTCAACTACCATCTTGGTGCCGCTGCCATGGCCGGCTCCAGCAGCGCCCCGGCTTTGGTCGCGACTTTCGTTTTGTGCGTGGCCCTGCTTTTAGACCGAAGAGGACGGAGATATATGGCGTATATAAAAGTGAGGAAACAATTTTGGGCTAACATGTAGAATTCGTAAAACCTTGCAGTGGTCTCGTTGTTCTCGCCGCATCGGCGGCCATCTTTTTCTTTGTCAAAGCCAATAGATCGCCTCTGCTCCGAGACGAACTGAGGCTGGCCCTCGTCTTTTTCCTGGCGACCTCGACGCTCTGGGGAATCATCGAATTCGTGGCGACTCTCGTCCCCCACAATGTCACCTCGGCGTGCCAGGTCGCCATTTCATTCGCTACTGTGTTCGACCAACTCGCTCGCTTCTCGGTGGAACAGTTTTTGCTATGGGGGGTCAACGGCGGCATGAAGGTCTCTAAGCTGTCGCTCGTCTTGCAGGGCGGTCTTTTCCTCAGATTCATCCTCGGCGCCGTTTTTGTGGGAGTGCAACGACCTCAATTCGACCCCGTTTGCGTTGCCACCAACTTGATTCTCCCCATCGGCATCGTTGTCATGGTCGTTGATATCGCGATGGTGATGATTCTGGGGATCAAGGCCTTCCTTGCCAAGAAGAGCGATGCTATCAGGCCGGAGCTGTCTCGGACCAACACCTTGATCCTCGTTACCGTTGGACTGGGCATGTGGACTGCCGTGAGTGCTTTTGAGGATGAAGGATGCTCGAAATGCTGAAACGCTGACATCGCTATAGTTGAGCACGCCCCTCTTCCTCGGACTCAAGACTACTGGCTTGGCTGTCCGAACAATACTGCCTGCTATTGGCCTATTAATCTTAATTGGTATGTCCCAACGGCCGTATCCTGGAAAGTGAATGCTCACCATAGGCAGGAATCGTCGCCCTTACCGCAAAGAGTTTCGTGCCCCCGCCATCGACGTCTGGTCTGAAGATTCAGAAAACCGTATCATTCGAGTCCACGGTTGAGCTGCCAACCCGCAACCTGGAAACCCGAGAGTTCCCTTCGCAGACGGCAATGGAAAGAATCAATGGCGCCCTGCCTCTCATCAGTCACCCCCCTTTCGGACAAGCTTCTCGAGGAGTCGGAGGACTTCCTGTTGAGGGCGAACTTTTCCCCCCAATGCGAGCTCAGACTGCGCCTGTCAGGGCCTACAGCAAGAAGAAGATGACGGATAGGGCTTACAAGGGCGGCAAGATTGTCATATCAAAGCCGATTGTGCAGATGGACGCGGAAAACAGCAACTTCGACAACATCCCGACCATCGATCTGGCCACCGCAGCGATGAAGGAGAAGGAACGCCGTGAATTGATGCCCCAGAATCCTTTCGTAAACGTCGACATAGGACTTGGCAAAGCCCCATCTCCCACAGAAGTCACGCGCAAGCTGTCCGCAGCGAAACGAAAGCAGGTTCCTGATTCTGCAGCCCCGAGCAACAGCCGAAATCTCCTTACCGTCGACGAGCCCGCATTCGCCATGACGTCCGCTGTACAGCTCTCGCCTGGCCCAGAGTCGGCTCGCAGACGATCCCCTCGCCATCAGAGGGACGGCTCCGCGCCATCACCGCCAATCATCTCACCAAAGGAGGAGGCACGAACGCCAAAGTCAGCTCCTCTTCAAAGTGTGCCAGCGCCACCGCCGCCCCCTATCCCGTCATTGCAGACAAGGCTCGAGGAGCATAGAGCCATGTCCGGAGCGGCTGCTGTCTCTCACTTTAGTGTCAGCACTATGGATCCTATGACAGCACGAATTGCGTCGACAATGATGTTTAGTCCCGAGGGTCCAAAGTCTGCAAAGGTTGCGGCCCCTCGACCGCCGCCGCCTCCCCCAGTACCTGCAGCACCTCCAGCTTCTGTTGATCAGTTTTGGGTGGATGCTCGAACAGCATCGTTGCCTCGAAGCAACTCCGTTAAGAACAATATCCGGCCATCTAGACAACGTCCCCCTTCAGTGCCGGCGGAAGAAGAGAAGCCGGATACGAAGACCCCTCTCCAGCGAAGGGCAACTGTAGGACTGCCGAACAATCCAAGGGCCAGAGCAACTAGGGTATTCGGCGGGGAACGAGGCACCATGCATGAGCGACAGATTATGTTCATGAATAGCGAGGAGGATACCGTCCCTATCTTGGCTGCCGCAAATATGGAAGCAGAGGAAGAGAGCGAATCTCCAGGTCGAAAATCAATAATTCACCGACCGAGGCCGATTCCACGCAAATCTACGGCGTCAGCTTCCGAACTCTTGGGAGTCTCCATCGACTCTGCTCAAGATGACCTTGCGCTCCTCCCAACACCAAACATGCCTTTGATCTCTCCCGTGAGTGTGAAGAGCCTATCGCAGAGTACTTACGGAGCAACTTCGCCTGGATCCCTCACCAGAGTCAAGACTGTTCGAAGAACGTCGTTTGTTCCTGATATGCCAGTTGTTCCTGTAGAGTACCAGGCCCAACAGTCGAAAGTGTCTCAGGATCCATTTACCGAGGAGACGACTACAAACGTATGGACAGTTGTGCCAAATGAGGGATTGACTCGGGTGCCTAGCACAGACAAGAAGACACGTGCGCTTTGTGTTTCAAAGTTCAGCGTGGACACTGCGTTGACTGCTCAAGAGCCACAATCGCCTTACCAGAGTCGGTTGTCGGTAAACACTCAGTCGTCTTATGAGGAGACCATTGGCCGCAACTCCACAGTCGCCTTTTCTTCAGACCCCAAAGCTGCTAGAGTCTCGACGGTGCTCAATGCTTTCAGTGAGCGTTTTACACGTCATGAGAGCGTTGACTCTGAGCTATCTCTGATGCTGAGGATGGCCCCGGTGCCACCCAAGAATATGCCAGGCGAGAAACGGACTGTTGCTCAAGAGAAGAGTGAAGCAGAGGATGTTCCTTTTATTATTGATATCCCCACGCCCGAATCGCCCAGATCAATGGAGAGCGTTCAGCTGACTGTCGACCAATTGCCGTCATGGCACCACCGTGTTGGCGAGGAGCTGCCTTCATTCTCTTCTCAGCTGAAGAACAGGAGGTCGCGCAAGCTCTTGGTGCCTAAGCCCCTGGCCTTGTACAGGCCAGCCAACGTCACCGTCGTTATCGAAGCCGAGCCATCGCCTGAAGAGCCAGCCCAGGAAGCTCTCGACAAGATCCACGAGCAACTCAAGCAGCTTGATCTTGAGAATGGAGATGCCCGTGCTACGATTAGCGAGAAGCAGCGACAGGCTATCTTGGCCAATCTGGAGTCTGAAATGGGTGCGCAAGAGGACCAATGGCAGATGCTCAGGGTCGACTACTCCCAGGGCTCGCCTTCTACCACTGTCACCGCGTCAGAGATCAACTCACTACGCAGCAGTGTTGATATCAGCAAGTTTGAGATCATGCCCATCACTAAGCTCAACGCAAGCGCCGGTGATTTGCTCGTAGCACTCAAAGACCATGCTGAGAACCGCCTGTCAACTTCTTCCGAGCTGTCCAAGGAGGAGACACTCGAATCTGGAGATGAGAAGCTCAGCCGCCGATCTCTATCAGCTTCAGGTAAAATGAACCTGCTCTCCGTGAACACCCGAACAATGTCGCAGATTGGTAGCCCTACTCCTCCAGATACTGACGAGTCAGGCGCGGAGAGCGACAATGATAGCATGGTGGAAGGCCTCGGCGCAGCTAAAGACGGATCTACGGCATTAATGCCAAGAGCCACAAGCTTTTTGGCTTTGGATGACGTTTTGAGCCCGTCTGAAGACGTCCAAAGCAAGCCTCCTGTTGAATTTGAGGATGTCTCATTGATGACTCCCAAGGCCCATCCTGCCCCTATTGCTGCCCAGTCCGAGGAGATCAAAGTCGCCAATGTTGCAATTGCTGAGGCTGAGACTATCAAGTTCAGCTTGGCAGACCTGGAAGAGCCCTCACCCCTATCTGCACCCGTGCCCGTGCCCGTGCCCGCGCCCGCGCCACGACCGCGACAAGTCATTCGACGACCTCCCCGCCAGAGCAAGCGCATCTCTACGCTCCCAGATATCGTCGAGAACCCAGAGCCGCTTGTCGGAAAATCTGGAAACCTTGGCATCTTCCAGTTCCCATGGGGCGAAAAGTCAGACTTGGCCAGAATCCCTCCCCGCATGGTTGGCATTTCCGGCACCATGACCAGCGGCCGTGCCCCTATGAACTCGATCCAAGAGAAGCAACTCCCCTCGGCCCCTCAGACTTTCCTTGATGATGACGAATTCGAGAATGGGCTGGACGATTACGAGAACGAGGAGTATGACGATGGCTTTGACGAGGCTACTCTTTGGGAGATTGCCAGCTTGCTGGAGAGCGACCTGGACACCTCCCGAGATGACCTCTTCATGGTTGGCGAGGAGGACTGGGAGGATCATGCGCCTGCTGAGGATGAGCTGTCCCCTGCTTCATCACCGGTTCGAGATATTGCCGAGAGTGTAAAGGAAGAAGTATATGATTTCATCCCAGTTACGCTAGCATCATCTGAAAGCTCTTCTGACATTTCTTTACAAGTCCCTACTCTCTGGACAGCCGATCTGAAGGACTCTCGGATGGGTTTGGGTTTGCCTCAGCCTAGTGAGGGGGAATGGCAATCGTACTTTGCCGTTGCTCCCAGACAAGCCCGTACTGTTCGTCGGGTGGTTGATGAGCCTACTCAGCTGTCTAGTGTTTCTCTGTGGACAGCTACCGCGACTGATGCCTCGATGTACACATCTGGAGTCTGGCGTGCTCCTGAGACCAAGGCTACTAAGCCTGCCTGGAAGATCGTCAACCTGGTGTGGTCGCCATCCAACGCTACTAAGATCTCCAATTTGGGCCTGCCTCAGCCAGTTGATAGCCTCTGGACCGCGTATATCCCAGAACCAGCCCGCGTCCCCCGCAAGACTACTCAGCTGCCACAGCCTGCAGTGATTATATCAACATCACTGTGGTCTCTCAAGAGAACCGTGGGGCCCAGTGCCTCGACTGGTGTATGGACTCCTGTGATTGAAGTTGAGGCTGAACAGCAGACTGCTGCTGCCACCACAACCGCTTCAGTATGGACGCCGCTCTCTCGCGCTCGTGTTGCGACTGTGGGACTTCCACAGCCGGAACTCAGCGTATGGAATCTTTACATTTCACCTTTGACGCGCTCTTCCCCCAAGGCGGCACGGATGCTTCCCCCCGCAACAATTGAGACTACATCTCTGTGGAAGCAGAGCCCAGCTGTCAAGCGCAGCGCGTCAAACGGCGTATGGAGTCCGATGGAAGAGATTGAGACTGAAGTACTGATCATTGCCGCTGCTGCTTCATTGTGGTCTCTTTCCTCTCGCACTCGTGCCTCCGTAGGACTGCCACAGCCAGAGCCAAGTGTCTGGAAGTCGTATATCCCTATGGCCGCACGTCTTGCTCCCAAGGCAGCACGGATGCTTCCTCCTGCAGTAATTGAGACAACCTCCCTGTGGAAGCTGAGCTCAGTTTCAAAGTCCAGCGTATCACAGGGTGTATGGAGTCCGGCTCCTAAGAAGGAGGAGACCATCATTAGCCCTGAGGTATCTTCCGTTGCTTCCTCGCTATGGTCGCCGAATTCTGCTCCTCGCGGTAACCCATGGAGCCTTCCTCAGCCAGATATCCAGGCTTGGAATGCATATATCTCTACTGATAGCCGTGTAACTCTCCGTGCCCCTCAAGCCCAGCAGCAGCAACAGGCTACCATTCAGAGCTCTTCAATGTGGTCCGTTGAACCCTCAAGAACCATTGAGATGTTCTCTAGTGCAAACCTGTGGAGCTTGAAGATGACCACCCTACTCTGGGCACCGGCTGTGCCTAAAGATGCCGGCGTTGGTCTTCCCCAGCCGGATGCGAAGGTTTGGAACGCTTACATTGCCATGCCGAGCCGCTCTACTCACCGGGCGATCAACGTGTCCGAGTCTGAAACCATCACAAGCACATCTTTGTGGCGTCCTCTGCCAGCTGTTATTCCCTACTCAGGAGGCGTTTGGGCACCAAAGTCACTGGTTACGAAGCCATCGCATGCTGAGACTTCTAAGGTAGCAAAGACTCTGTGGTCTTCATCTCCTGAATTGGCTCACTCCGTCGGGCTGCCACAGCCAGACACAAAGGTCTGGAACATGTACCTTCTTCTCCCAGCACGCGACTATCGCAAGGCCTACTTACCCAGACCCGGTATGATCACAAGCACGTCATTGTGGCGATCTCTGCCAGCTGCTCTTCCTCACTCTGGGGGCGTTTGGGCACCAAAATCACTGGTTGCAAAGCCATCGCATGCTAAGTCCTCTACGATGGCAAAGGCTCTGTGGTCTTCATCTCCCAAAAAGACACACTCTGTCGGGCTGTCACAGCCAGACGCCGAGATTTGGGACGCATATCTCCTTCTCCCGGCACGCGAATACCGTAAAGCCTACTTGCCCCGGCCCGCCATGATTACAAGCACGTCTTTGTGGGCGCCTACTCCAAGCGTCGAGACACCCTCTGGCGGAGTGTGGAAGGCCAAGTCAGTAAAGGTGGCAACCGAGTCATCTCTTGTTAAGCCTGCTTTGGCAGTGGTGAAGGACTTACTATGGTCTTCATCACCCGCCAAGGCAGCTTCCTTCGGCCTGCCTCAGCCAGAAATCTGGGCCGCTTACCCTGTCCCTGCAGGTCGCCGTCAGCGAGTTGCGCATGTCGACAAGACTGTGGCTACCATTACAAGCACATCTCTCTGGACTCCCACCCCAAGCACCAAAGTTCCTTCAACTGGGGTCTGGCAGCCAAAGTCAAAGCCCGTGAACGTTGAGTCTTCTCGCACTTCTGCCAAGGCAAAGCAGATTGGTTCATCACTATGGACTCACCTGTCCACCGCAAAGCCGTCCGTCGGCCTGCCCCAGCCAATCTCTGAGATCTGGAACTCGTACATCTCGCCCTTGACCAGCGCCACGTCTACCTCTCGCCGAGTTTTCGTCTCGGAGACTGCTTCAATCGAAAGCCAGGCTCTCTGGTCTCTCGCGTCTAAAACGGAGGCTGCGGCCGGTTACCTCTGGTGCCCAGCTGAGACTAAGCGCCCAGTCACACAAAACGTTGTTCGTGCCGTGACGGTAACTAGCTCACCTGTTACTGCTACGCCCACCTCTGTTGTAGCTGAAAGCTCCGTTTCTTCAGAGAAACGCACGACCAGTGTTCGTAAATCCGTGCCCGTCTTCATGACGCAAGAGCAGTGGAATTCCGCATTCAAGAGAATCTCCCAGGACGTGAAGAGAGATGATTCCAGCCTCAACCAATGGGCTCTCCCATCATCGTCATCGAAGAATGCCACCAGGCTGAACCGTTCCCAGTCGGTCAAGAGCCGTCCAATCTTCGATCCGTCCGTCATGGCCCTCATCTCCGAATACCCTTCCACCACCCCCACCACCTCTTCATCACGCAAGGGCTTCGGGCGATCAAAGAGCATCTCGGCCCTACCTTCCAGCCGCAGAACGCTAAGCCGCAGCAGCAGCAAAGCGTCATCAATCTCTCTGCCCAGCATGGAGCCTCAGCCAGCCGCCTTCCTCTGGACTAAACCCGCTTCAGCGTCCGAAAAGGCTTCTCCTTCCATGTGGCAGCCCCCCCGCCGCAGCCGCGCTGACGTGCAGCTCCCGCCCTCATTCAGCATCCTCCTCCCCAGTCCACGACGAACCGCTGGCAGGAAGACGGATATTGCAGTCTCCACTAGTTTCAGGCCCGGACAGGGTTTGTGGAGGGGTGCCGAGCAAATAAGATTGTGAGATTTGGGAAGTACAAGGGAGCAGGGGTATGGAAATCTGGAGTCATTCCTAATGCGGTGCTATCAATCGAGATGACAGGAGTAAAGGATTCTTTTCTTTTTATGATGTGTGTGACAATGAATAGGAGGGGATATAGGTACTGCTGTGTTGTAGATGGTGTGAAAGAAAGAGTATGTTTATGTTTTGTGATGAAGAGGGGAGATATACCCTTATGATTAGATAATCGAGTTTGGTGTATTGGAAAGTGGAAATATTTTTCTTTTTTATTCGTTGGCGATGGATGGTTGTTGGAGGTATAAAGGAAGGATGTTGATAATATGGAAGAGTATTTAGTCGAGAGTATATATTTAGAAAGCAAGTCAATATAACAGGTATCAGCATCTATCAGTATCCAGTCCCAATTCCAGTAAAGAAAATGAAGAAGAAAAGTATATACTAGAAGTCACCAACACATCAAACAAACATGTACAATTCACTCGCATCACCAAAGCTTTCACGCAATTGAACGAGACACCAAAGAAACAAAAAACCTTCATGTATCAAGTCATTGTTCATGTCATGGCCATTCAGAGCTCTCTATCCATGCGTCTCAGTAAGCTAAAAAGTAATTGAGGGAGGGAAACAAGGGTTGAGAAGGGGAAAAGTAAAGATAAGAAAAGCATCACCAAATGCGCAAAGTTTTGTCAAAATTGCGCCGACGCTTTTGCAAAGATTCAAACACCACACCAATGCTTCGTTTGCCGACCACTGTGTATATCCTGTGTAATTCCGATCCGATGTCCGTCCGTCCCTGTTTTTCTGTTTTTTATCCCTCAGAGCTCCTTGGACCTTTTTTTTTTGGTGTTTTCTTTTTTATAAGTTATAAGTTGACGTTGAGGTATACATATCGTTGTCTCGCGAGCAACTATGATGCAGATAGTATCCTCTTCTCATGATGGGAAAGAGCTTCAGTATCGGCTTGCTCTCTCCTGTTTGTATCGGAGCTCGTTAGAGTCATTAGGATTTTTTTTAGGTGGGTGGAAGAGAAAGGAGGCAAGTCCCTCCTCTCTCTATACCCAAAAAGTTCATTTTTCTTTTCGTAGCAAGTCGGTTTGTCGAATAGGACGTCACCGACACTTCATACTAAAAGTTCATGAAAGACAAAGGAAAAACAACACCACATCCCCTTAACGGCCGTGAAGCCGTTGTATAACCCTACTTGCTGTTCTAGGAACAGGTGGGCAATATGTCAAAAGCGTCCTCATTGGGACTATTTTGTACGCGATGAATTTTCGTGTAATTCCGGCTCATATAAATTCGTAGAATCGGATATCCGCGTTACCGATGGAAAAGCGCGAGCAAATGCAATTGGACTGCCTTATAAGTGCTGATAGTTCCACAGCAAGAAGCTGAATTGTACAGCAAGTCAAATGGTTTTTGGTAGAAAGGCATCGCTGATCGTGCTGATCGTGCTGATCATGCTGATCTAAGCTGGGAGAGAGTCGTCGAAATATGATAAATGTGCTGGAGCATTATCATGGGAGTATTAATCGAATAAATGTGTAAACCCGAAACCGTCGCTATGCAAACAGAATAAAAACACACAAGATCATTATTTCTGTACAGAGTTTCCCATGAACCTGTACGATGGGAGAGTGATGGACCTGAAAGCGTGGGCCGTTGTAAATCCACGCCAGAGTGGCGATGCACTAGCTAGCAATCATAGTTTGTAAGCGTCTAGTCATTGGCGAAGAAGAAGCAGATGATGATGTTGAGCTTTTTGGCGATGGCGAATCAAGCAAGGTAGACAGATTGCCACGGTGCCGAATGGTTCGACGGGACTGACTCGATCCTGGATCGTCAAACATGCGTGTGAAAGCTGGACTAGAATCGGTTTGACGTTCGCGCCTTGGAGTAACCGTAGGGCTCTGCGTTATTTGCTCAGCCCGGCGGATGACGTCCGACAAGGAATCTCGAAGCTCTCCAGCTCTCTTCACCAACACTCTTAAGCTGTTCGTGTCGAAAGTCATCTTGTTGTCTGGACGAGACGGGGGATCCTGGTCGGGGATGGAACGACTCATTGCCTCCATCACTGAGCGAGCACCTTTGGCTGCTTCTTCTTGCCTATCAGCACGCAACTCGGGCGTTCGAGAGCGACTGGACTGATTGGATGGCGGGCTATCATCGACCAACGGCCAATTGCCACCAAAGATGTCGTCGTCGGGAGAGAAAACAGATCGTCGTTTCGGAGAATGGCGCTCACGCACTACAGCCGTCTTTGACATGGGCTCCTTGATATCGAAAGCCATGTCTAGCTTGCTGAAAGAAACATCGTCAAAGTCTTCTTCGGAAAACCCGTCATTGTTATCGAATTCCTCCATGGCATCCAAAAAGTTGGCATCATTCTCCTCATCTATAGAATCCTCTTCGTCGGGCGAAGCCAGGGCAATGACACCCTCAGCCTCTTTCCACAAAGTCTTCTGTGGGCCATCGAGCATGTCCATATCGCGCCCGTGGCGGCATAGTCGCTTGAGGTCGTTGACGAGCAAAGACAGTTCACGGATCTGCCCTGAATGCGCCTTCACACTGGGCTGCGACGCCTGGATAGATTCAGGCACCGAGAACAGATTGTTGTCGGCTTTATCACCAAAGCCACTGGCACTGCCACCAAACTCAAAGTCTTCATCCCAATCCTCGCTCACTGTCTTCGAGCTTAGTCCCCAGGTACCATATTTGGCACCAGTAGATGACTTGCCCTCATCCAAGGCGTGCGAAAGAGGGACACTTTGGCTCCGAATATGCGTAGGTATAGGGCCACGAATGACAGGGCGTCCGCCCCTAGCATCAAGCTCCTGCTTTTCGTAAGATGTCTTTGGTCGCAGCCGAACACCCTCTGAACTGCTCTTTTCATGGAAAGAAGTTTCGCTCCAGTCAAACAAGTTATTCAGTGGCCGATCATCTGAATCCATGTCAGACGTTTGGTCCAGGCTCATATTTGCCAGCGCAACCCTGACATTTGGATTAATGACGCGAGAATTCATTGAGCTGCCTTTGGAGGGAGGAGACAAGGGATTAAAGTGCGCGTCGTCATCAACGTCCCAGTCCTCGTCAAAATCGTCGTCTAATGAAATGCGACCAAACTCTTTTGTGTAAATCGAAACACCATTTTGCGACGACTCTGAGCTGATGCGAGGCAGAGTAAGAATGTGGCGGCTGGAGTACCTCAGTCGGGTTCCGCTAGTTTCCCCGATGGGCATCATCGTACTTTCGTCTTCTTCCATAATATTTGTGTCACCGCCCCAGTTATGGCCCAATATCTCCTGTATCGAGAGGCGCTTGGTCTTACCATTATTTCCTGCGGTGCTCGGGGGGGAGTCGTCATAAATAGAATCCAAGGGCGTCTCCACAGCCCTTGTGCGACTGGAAGCTGCAGTGCGCAGCGAGTCGAACACAGTGTCACTCTTATAGTCGGCGTCGTCCTCATCGGCCGATATGAAGCCGCGGGCGTCGCCTTCAAAGGCCTCAGTCGCAGAGAAGCTTTCATGTAAGGGAGAGGCTCTGAGTTGCGACATGGCAGCGGAGCTGGTCGAGCTCCCGGAGGGCTGGTGCTGCCGTGCTGAATGAGAGGCCGCCCCGCTAGGCGATCCCAGGCGTGGCCCGTCGATTTGAAAATTCGATTTACGAGGGGCGGGGAGAAGTGGGGAGGAATGGCTTCTTTTATGCATTGTTAGCTGAGAGTTGGCTGCTGAATCCAGCGTCGGCCCCTGCCGTCCTAGAGGACTGGGTGGGATTGGTGATTGCGCCGGCGCTTTCAAGTCGTGCTCCACGGCGGTTTGGGCGCCACTATCGCTTGGGGCTGACACGTGCCGCCGGTCGTTCACACCATCCGCTTCAGTCTCCCGCTTTGGCTGTCGAAGGCTTCCCGATGTCCTGGAGAGCCAGTTGGCCACGGGAGGGAATGGCATTGAATGAGGCCGCATCGCTTTTCTTTCAGTCGCATTCTCGGGGGAAGTCGATCGATCGTCCACGTGAACGCCTGTCTCAGTTCGGGCTTGGCGAATTTCATCTCGTCGATCCGCGGGGGATGGCGCAATTAGAGGCGCTGAGGCAGGCGACACCATCCTAGGCGTAACAAGATGTACCTGTTGGTGATCATAGCCGCCGGGGGAGATGCGCTTTGAGACGGTGCGACCACGGGGGGCACCCTCTCCCAGGCGGCCTGAAAAAGCACCGCCGCCTATGTTGCTTGTGCGCGAATGGAAAAAAGATATCCACCTCGTCCTCCGACTTCCTCGAGATTGCGCAGAAAGCGCCGCTGTTAGGAGGCTTTCTTGCTTCTTTGGTGATTGATCAAAAGAAAACGCCGGTGAGGGCAGACTCAAATCGGTGCTCTGGCGGAAATGATGCAGGGTGGCAGATCTTTGGTGGCTAGTCGCTGGCCGCCGCAGGATAGATAGATGCGATTTCGGTCGAGTGTGTGTGGGTGTAGGAGGAGCGTCGCTAGATGTGACTGACGGAGATCGTTTCACAAGCTTGTTCGGCGCCAGAGGGTTGGCGGCAGTGTTTGGCCTTGATAGAATCGGGGCTGATGAAGTGTACGACTGGGAAATCGAGGGCGAATCTGGTCCAATGCTGGATTTTGACTTGACGCTTCCCTGGCGCGACAACGGAGGGCGGCGGATCGAGAGCCTTCTAATCCAAGATCCGTTCGACGAGACGGAGTCTCTAGGTCCCTCTGGCGTCGGTGATGCTGAACTCTCACGCTGCCTCAACATTGACCGTCTCTCGGGGATTGGCCTAGGTGATGAGGCAGGTTGATGCGAGGGCCTCTGGTAGCGCGACAACGGAGGGCGAGACACTGTGATTGGGCTGGCCACGGCACTCTGCGGCGGATACTCGACTTCTATTGACGGCGCATCCAGACTGGCTTCGTATCGTAGAGGAGACGAGACGGCCGAGGGGGCCGTAACTGGCAGATCGCGGTCGAATGAGATTTCCTTGCGGAGCTGGCTGAGTCGCTT